GTAATTAAATTGATTTATATTTATGAAATTCGTTTAAAATTTATAAATTTAGTAAAAAAAAAAAAAAAAATTATCTCTTGCGAAATAAACAAAAAATAAATTTGTTTTAAAAAAAAATTTTACAAAAGGGGGCAAATGGTATCCACATGCATGATTGTTGGCAGTTCTTTTCCACTTTAATAATCTTTTTAAAATAAAAATAAAATAAAATTGTTGAATTTAGTGACTATTATATTCACATGTTTCAACCACACAACTATATGCACGTAACATCAATATTAATATTAATATTAATTAACTAACCAAAAGGTATAAACCCCATACTTGTATATATTGATTTGAAATTAAACATTAATTTTAATTTTTTATATATTATTTTATTAGAAAAAATATATTTTTTATTAAAAACAACGCACTTGTTAAATTGAATTTGAAATCATAATAATAAACCCTAAATAAGGATTCACGTTTGTATGGCTTTGATTCGATTTTAATTTGAAATTTAATTTAAATAATATTTTAATGTGTTTCTTTACGAGTTTTGTTTTATTATTATTTTTTATTTTTTTGGATTCGAATAGCAGCTTAAATTGTAATGTTTTAAAAAATATATATATTTTTATAAGTAATTGCAATAATTATATAACAAAAAAACGAAGCCAAATTTGGAAGGATACCCAATACATTTGTAGGCTACGTTAATTAGTATGGTAACTATCAATAAAAATATATAAAATCTTAGAAAAAAAATAATGATGTTATTTTATAGAAAAATGACAAAAACCACAAATTTATTTGATTTGAATTTAAATTTAAAATAATTTTTTTATATCATATTGTAATATAATTTTATTAAAATTATTTATTAGTTTAGATTTAAAACTCAGACAACAAAAGACTCCAAATTTGTGAAGGAGACCCGCCTTTGGATGGGTATGGATATGGATATGGTAGGAATTAATTGCGACATGTGTAAAGATACGGAAAAGTCAACTCCACTGTATTACTAACTACTTTTATAAGCAAAGTGGGACCCGCCCTAATAAATGTGGAAAATTATTACTCATTGTCTCAACCACGGTAACATTTATTTTTTACGCAGGTTTTTAAGTGGATAGTATTAACTAAGATAATTTAGAAATTATGTGATGTGACGGAGAGAAAAATATATATTTTATTTTTTTATTTGGATTATATGAGAGGATAAAATGTGTAGTAGAGATTAAATATAATTAATTATTTCATATTTGGAAATGTTGCGGGATATTTAGGACATATCAAAAAGAAAATGTTGCAGGATGTTTTGGACGGAGAGAGTATTATTTTTTTCTTTTCATTTTCTATTTAGTTTTTATATTTTTCAATACTCCCTCCGTTCCGCAAGAAGAGCATGTTTGCTTTTTATAAGTAATTTTTTTAATATTAATATTATATTAATTTGTAGTAAAAATGACAAAAATGCACATATTAGTATGTTATATTATAAAAGTAATGATATTTGTTTAATATATTATAAATTGTAAGAGTATTTTATTATATTAGGTAAATAGTACAGTTACTAAATTAGAAAATGATATCCTTGTTTTAAAACGGACAAAAATAGAAAATGATATCTTTTTTTATGGGACGTAGGGAGTAGTTTTTTTTATACTCCTTCCTTCCCATATATCATGTTATACTTTCTATTTTCGCTATCTCACGTATTATGTAATTTTTTTTAAAAAAAATATTTATATTTTAATCATATTTTAAATTTTATAATTTATAATTTTTTTAATTTCTATTAGATCGATTAGTTATTTTAATCTTACAATATAATTATTTGTATTATATTGTAATTAATTTTACTAATATATTTTTAATTATTTACTAATCATGCTTCTCTTAAATTTTCGAGACTACAAGGAAATGTGTCATCATATTAAGGAAGGAGGGAGTATAAAATATTAATACCTCCGTATAATTAAAAATGTATTAGTGAAAATAATAATCGTATAATAAAAATAATTTTAAATTAAAATTAAAAAAAAATTATAAATAAAAAAATAAATGAGATTAAAGTGTATATTTTTTTTAAAAAAAATGACAAAATAAGTGAAACACACGAAAATTAAAAAATGGACACGATAAACAGAACAGAGGGATTATATTTTTAAAAAATCCAAAAGTATAAATCTGGTTTTGTTTAGTTTAGGATTATTATACACTGCTTTTTGTTATTTGAGTTTGAGTTTGTGTAATTGTAATTTTATACTATATGTAAAGAAAATAAAGAACATATTTTATTATAAATTGTGAAAAAAAGTTTGATTGAAAAATAAAAACATAAATCAAGCATATTAGTTTGTTTTTCAAATATCACATATTAACACCATTTCAAATATCTAGTTTTGATTTTTTAATTATTCAATCATCGAATTTTCTATAAAAATACATTATATATATATTTTTTTCTTCACTAAAACATCATATAGAAACCATCATTCAAAACAAAAGATAAAATAAAACATCAAAATCGAACTCAACACATTTTCTGTGTTAGATGAAATAAATAACCACGACAAACAGGGTACAGTGAAACTTGAACTCGAGATCTAAAATTCTGATACCATGTTAGATGATGTAATGACCTCTTCAAAAGCGTTACGATCATTTAGATCATTTAACGTTATGTATGTTTTGAGTTTCCTTTGATGCTACGATATTAAGACACTAGACAAAGGCGTTGCCCTAAAATCGAAGGCATTAATTAATTAGTTAAATAGTTCCTTCCATGTATTTAATTTATTGCATGTCGTAATCTTACTTGATTAAGGAGTAGTTGAGAGTATTGATTAATTAATTAAGACATGCGTGCATAAATACTACAACACATGCATGGATGAGAATTTTGTGCATATACATTTACCGTACGGTATTATCTATTAGGATGCATTTAGAAAATAAAATGAAATTGTAAAAGAAATAATAATTGAAAATAAAATGGTAAAGAAACAAATTAGTAGAAAATAAAAATTATTTCTTTTTTCTTTTTGATAAATCACAATTCAAGTTAATTAATAATGAAGAGTAATAATTTTATTCTGTAAAATATATTACAAATTATTTGAAGGGAAAAATTTTCTAGTTTAATGATCATTTCATACCATTTAAATAAATTTATATTTTACTCTTTTTATTTGTCTCAATGTAAAGTATATATATATATATATTTTGAATAAATTTATACTTATTTATATAAAAACTATTATATCAAATTAAAACATAATAACAAAAAAATAAAAAAACTAAAATATAACCAAATATCATTTAAATGTTATTAGGTGTGTTACCGGTAAGATCTTGATTTTAAATAATGCAATTTCGTAATTAAAATATTTATTTGATTTGATATTATTTTTTAATTTCTAAACAAAAAAATAAAATAAGTGAATATCTCTATTAAATGAACCAATGAAGTATTATGAAAAATAATTATTATATAATAAATTATTCATAGATTAATATTTAAATAACTAAATAATTTAATTAAGATTAACAAATTAGTGATTATAAAATTTTAAATATTATTAAAGTGTTTAAAATTATTATTTATATTTAAAAAAAATAAAATAATGGACTAAAATAAAAATAATACACACGGACGGAAATGAATATTGAACAAATAAAGTTGAGGGAGTATTATTTTGTCCTTTAAAACATTTCATCCAATCATGGGTTTGTGTGATTGTAGTTCAAAATTAATTTAAAATATAATATAATATAATATTTTAATACGATATTTATAAGAGAAAATAATATATTTTTATTAAAAGCTATACCGAGTAAATAATATTAATATTAATTTAAAAGGCTAAAAGAAAAAACAAATATGGAATAAAATACAATCAAACACACCCAACATTATTTTTTAAAAGGAAATATTTTTTGATAAACAATGAGTGCAAAAATAAATTTGAAAATCATAAGTAAATATAAAGTGACATTTATTCACATTGAAGCCTCCCTTTTACTTTTACTTTCTTATTGGGCCTTTAAAAACTGAATTTAGACCTACTTCTATTGAGGCCCAATTAATATCTGCCCATCACATAAAACAATATATATATATATCTAATGACGAAATAAATTTAAATGTACGTACCTATAGAGTATTTAGTTTATGATATATTATATATATACTATTAAAATAAATTTTAAAATATATAAAAGTGTTTTTAAAAAAATTATATATCAATAAAATATTTTCAACATTGATATAAAATAAGAATTTAAATATTACAAACCAATAAATATCTATAAGGATTTATATATAAGTTTGATAGAAAAAAATGATAAATATTGATGTAAATAAATATATTTTATTTAGTAGATGGATAAAAGTGAATTTTAATATAAATAATAATTTAAATATTATATTCTTTTAAGACAAAATAATATTATATAATAAAAAAACAAGATTTGTAAATATATATATATATATATATATAAAATATCTCGGAAACCAGAATTGGGCATATACTAAATTATCCGAGCTTGAATATAGACTACTTATTTTTCAAAATGTTATTTAAAAAAAAAAAAAATTAGAATTAAGCATGATTGGTAACCTGAAAAATCTCCCATGATAGGCGTGCTTGTGCTTATGCTTGGACGAGAACAGAACCAACCTGCGACATGCCAAAGGTGGTGTCAGACACAATATATATAAAAATGAAACAGCGCTAAAACAAGACCAAACCAGCAACAAACTTGCTCTTACACAAAGCTCACGAACATCTTTCCCATTAACTAAACCAACTTAGAATCAAACAAATTAACTCAAACCAATCCAACTAATCTTTCATCATCAGTCTCATCTCAAATCCCTAATTCACACTTTATATAAACAACCCAAAGCAGCAGAACCCAATGATAATCTCACTCCAATTATATAAACTTCTTCTTCTTCGTCTTCTTTACTAATAACTAACTAACAATAACCATAACCATAATCATCAATGGGGAGCGAAGAAGAGATCAAAGACTTACACTCAACAGGGAAAGCTACCATTCTTGCTCTGGGCAAGGCCTTCCCTCATCAGCTCGTCATGCAGGACTTCCTCGTCGACGGCTACTTCCGCAACACCAACTGCGATGATCCCGACCTCAAGCAGAAGCTCGCCCGCCTCTGTCCGTACTCCTCCTCATCCTAACTCTCTTCCTCCTTAATTTATCGATGTTCATCGCATTCCTATGTCTGTCTCTCTGCAGGCAAGGCAACCACCGTCAAAACTCGCTACGTCGTCATGTCCGAAGAGATACTCACCAAGTACCCGGAGCTCGCCACCGAAGGCCACCCCACCGTCAAGCAACGCCTCGACATCTGCAACGCCGCCGTCACCCAAATGGCCATCGAAGCCTCGCAGTCTTGCATCAGGAGCTGGGGCAGGCCCGCTTCTGACATCACACACTTAGTCTATGTCTCCTCCAGCGAAGCTCGCCTTCCCGGCGGTGATCTCTACCTCGCCAAAGGGCTCGGCCTCAGTCCCAGCACTCAGAGGGTCATGCTCTACTTCTCCGGCTGCTCCGGCGGGGTCGCCGGTCTCCGAGTAGCCAAGGACATCGCCGAGAACAATCCAGGCAGCAGAGTGCTCCTCGCCACTTCCGAAACAACGATTATTGGATTCAAGCCTCCCAGCGCCGACAGGCCCTATGACCTAGTCGGGGTTGCACTGTTCGGAGATGGTGCCGGAGCAATGATCGTCGGATCGAACCCTGTCCTGAAACCTGCGGAAAGGCCTCTGTTCGAATTGCACATCGCGATACAACATTTCTTGCCTGATACAGAGAAGGTTATTGATGGAAAGCTCACCGAAGAGGGCATAAGCTTCAAGCTCGAACGGCAGCTACCTCAGATAATCGAAGACAACATCCAGGACTTCTGCGTCGAGCTGATGGGATTCGCAGGCTTCACAAAGACGGAATTCAACAAGCTGTTCTGGGCAGTACATCCCGGCGGGCCTGCAATTCTCAACCGGCTGGAGAAGAAGCTGGAACTCCTGCCGGAAAAGCTGAACGCCAGTCGCCGGGCACTGACCGACTACGGAAATGCCAGCAGCAACACCATCGTCTACGTCCTGGAATACATGCTGGAAGAAGCAAAGAGTGTTAGCAATGGCAAGAAAGATGGGAATGAGTGGGGACTCATCCTAGCATTTGGCCCTGGAATCACATTTGAAGGCATTCTTACAAGAAATCTCACACTCTGAACTGCAAGAAGAAAATGTTATTTCTAATCTGCAACTGATAAAAAGAGATATATATATATATATGTATGTCGATCCATTTCATTCTCATCTGTAATGGAGATTGATATTAAATATGATCATCGTCATCAATTTGTAAGAAATTTCTTCAAGTTTAGAGCTGAGTCCATGTGGATGATCTTCTCAACACAGGCTTCTGCTGCTTTTCTTCTTCCAGAGAGATCATCCCCAAATGTGAAGGATCTTCAAGCAGCATTTTCGCCACGAGATACCCGGCGATCGACCACGTCTGGTGTTTCCGAGCTTGCTTCCCCACATACCTCCCCTGCTTCCCGTCGTAGTATTCTGGCCACCCGTCTTTCAGCAGCCTCGATTCAGCGTGCTCGATTGCGCGCCGCGCCATCTGTGGACGCCCCGTCTTGATGCACGCCGCTGTCAGCAGCCATAGAAGCACTGCAATCGTCATACCAATATCATCATTCTTACAAATTATACACATCTTTGTCGTTATATATATATGTATGTGTGTGCATGCACACGTACCTGGCCATGATCCGCCGTTGTGGTAACTCCATCGAGTGTTTTTAGGATCGCAGCCGGTGACGATTCTCCATTCGTGATTCTCGAGAGCCGGATAACACACCTTGAGTGGCATATCGCCGACCAGCTCTGCCCACCGCGCCTCGATAAGATCCATTATAGCAGTCGACTGCTCCTCCGTAGCTAAGGATGAAAGGATCGCGATGCAGTTGCCTAAGCAAAACCAACGGAAATCCATCTTTGAAGGCCCTACGTTACCCACAAAATACCCTCCCTGTGTCGGCATAAAATCGAACACCCAATCAGGCAGGGAATCAGGCATGATGTTGAACTTGTTCACCGCTGTGTGCGAGTACTCCTCCGTCCTGTACCGGTATATATCGTTCAGCTGCTTGAAGTCGAGCCAGAAGTAACTCCTCATATGGTAGCTCAACGCGGTCAGTCGCTTCACAATCCTCTCGATAAACTCCTTTCCCGGGCCATCTTGCTTTAGCAGGCGCATCGCGCATCGCAGAGCCATGAAGAACAGAGCCTGTATCTCGATCGGGTACCCATAAACACCCTGCAATCAAATACGTAAGACGAAGAAACGCAATGCGATGAAGCATAAGCTTTTACGACACAACATTAAGAAAACCGAACCATTCTACGATCAATCATGCAGCAGCCATCAGCACAAAGCAGCGTTGGGAACGTGTCGAATCCTTCCGACAGGCATAAGCTGAGCACGAGACGAATGCCCTTCTGGCATTCAGGCATCTCCGCCAGGGAATTGTCTCCAGTGGACTTCGTGTATGCTCGTAGTAGGATGATCCACCAGAAGCCAGAATCAACGGGCGCCACTCTACCGATGGCGCTCTCGCCAAAATCGGCTACTAAAGTCTCCGTATTCCTGACTGGATCGTGCAGCACTTTGAAACTCGCCGGCATAACGCCCTCCCCCAGCTGGAACCGATCGATCTTTTTCTCCCACGATTGGAGCCGTAGCGTCTTCAGCAGAAAGTTCTTCACAATTTCCGGCTCCCCGTTCATCAGAAACGCCAATCCGCTCGGAACAAAATCCCTAACAAACACCTGCACAAGTCGAATTTCGTCAAATCCTTCATGAACTGACATAAACAAGTCGAATCTTGTTCAATCCACAGAATCGTTTACCTGATCGTAGTTGAGCTTCTCTTCGGAGTTATCCAATGCAGCAATGGTTCCGACAGGTTGGCCTCGGAAGGTTACCAATGTTCGCCGCAAGTTGTCCCAAGCTTCGAATACCATGGGGTGTGGCTCAAAGCATGCGCCATAGCCAAACTGCGAAGTCGGAGTGTTGATTCCAGACCTCCTGCTTGGCGAAAATGCATTATAGGCATTGTCGAAAGCTCGGCAGCTGCTATCTGCTCTGGAAGACGGAATTGGAGACAGCATCATCGGCATATCAGCAAGCGACCTTTCATCGAATGATCTCTGTCTCTCCAAGTTCAAATTCCTCGGCCGTGTCGTCAGCCTCGAGAAATCATACTCCTCCAATTCCTGCACACTGTTTGATGATCCGACATTCTTAATCCCACCGTTCTGCGATGCATCCGTTGCAAGCGCAGACATCTTAGCAAATCCTCAGTCACAACAATCTGCATTTTATCAATGTGAGAACCAGAATTTACACTGCGGCAAATACACAAACACATTGTGTGCAACATCCATCGAACACGGTATACCTAAGCAAGGATACAATCTACAATCTAACAATCAACAATCATAATCGAACAATCCATGATTATTCACAACAGAATTACAATTCCAAATATATATATATATATATATATCAACAGCAAATACATCGACGACGAATCAGAATCCAATCCTTGCATATTACAGGAAATACGAAGCAAAAAAAAAAAAAAAAGGCAATAAATCGTTCCGCTTACATGCGCCAATCCGATTCCGGAGAAGAACGACACACAAATCAAACGCTGAATCCAGCAGCAATCTGGTGTAATCGGAAGAAGAACATCGTCATACAACCGTAACGGATTGGCAACCAATAATAATGCAAAGTGGATTGGCGATTGCGTCACATGATACACGCACGTATTGCCTCAACCAGGCCTGTGAGAATGACTGACCTCAAAAGCTGCAATTTTTCGACAACGAATGAAACAACAACGTCACGTTCATCATTGATTTTACCATATTTATAGATAATCTGCTCGGATGATTTAATCAAACGTGGTTTTGGTGCTAACTGCTAAGAAAAGAATCCAGCAGGCACGAGGTTATTAATATTATTATTATTATTTGACATATTTATTTATTTACCGGGAAAAAAAAAAAAGAAAAAAGAAGGAAATAGTAATAAATAAATCGGATTGAAGCTGTCAATTGTCATGCCATTTTAAAATGGAATGCAAAGGGTGTTTATGAAAAATTAATATTAAATTGCCGTTTAGGGGGAACGGTAATTGAATTGGTTAGGTTGGTGGTAGCTGTATTGTTACTGTTAATTAAGGTAATATTCTTTATGAATTATGCCAATAAAATATTATATATTTATATTTAATTGTTATAATAATTCAATATTTAATGAATAGTCATTAGTAAATATCTTGATTTTTTATTATTAGGTACGTATTTGATATTTTTAGCATAAGAATATCCTATCGAATTTAATTCGAACGTTCAAGTAGAAAGAATACTGTAATTTTAATATCTTTAAGGTTTCTGAATTAATAGAAAACCTGAATAGTGTTGCAGGTTATATAAATAAATATATTTAGTAATTGTAAAAAAAATACTATGAATATATTTGGTTTGGGCTCAACTATTTATATACAAATTAATTACTTCCCCGTTAGACTACACTCTCAATAAATGAAAAAAAATCTACAAACAAAAGAACTGTGTTTGGATGTGAGATTGGCCCTAGTTTTTTTACTATTTTTTTATTTTTTATTTTAAAGATTATAAAATTAAATATATATATTTAATATATTAAATAAATAAAAAATTCATTCAAGACATTCAACACTGAATTACCTAACATTAAATATTTATTTGAATTCAAACATATATTAAATATTCATACATGACAATAAATCCCACATCACATACTATCATTTACTTCTAAATATACAAAATACATTCACACAGCACATCGTCAGTACATGAAACAATATACAGATAGTCTATATTTCAATATGATGTGGGAACAGATCAGTTAAGGTTAGGACACAGGCAACAAAATTAGCATGAAGAAATGTGTATGGTTTATTCAACTAATGTTTCATCAATCACCTGTTGTATTGCCACCAATATAACTGTTAGATGAGATACCCTGCACGCTGCGAGTCGACGAACATGCGCCTGAAGAACTTCCATCTGCAAGGCTTGGATCGTCCGGTGCAAATTTCTTGGCTTTTTGGGGCTTCATTGAGGAATCCTGCGCAGCATCGAATCAAACTACAGTCAGCTCAAAAGGGATATAATTATCTTTTATACAAGTTGAATATGCAAATGGTTTTGTCATTTACCTGTTGGGACATAGATCCAGGTGTTTTAAGCTCTAAATCTGTCGTAATGTCATCCGAATCATTGACTCTAACAACTCTACTATCCCCATCTGAAGATTTGTTTCTTAGTTCTTGTTTGCTGGAGCCATGAGATCTTGTACCTCGCTGCAGGCCCTGCTGCTGCTCGATTATGGCATTATGAGTCATATATGGAGCATAAGCTGGACAGGGATTAGCCATTGCTGTTTGATGCTGGTTGCCATAGAATGTAAATGGCTGCAATGGGACAGGTGCAGTGGGAATCGAGACGGGCAGTGGAAAGGGGTAAGAAGATGGATGCATTATAACTGAATGATCTATCCCACTCCATGGATACACTGCCCTCACTCTTTGCAGGTAATGGGAATTAAGGCCTTCGATATCAGATTTAAGAGCAGCCTTTTCATCCTTAAGATCATTCTTTTCCTGAGTCAGCTGCATGAAAGCAACAATAAAGATGAGTTCTTTATGAAATGTTCTGTTTTTCTTTATGACCCAATCGGTAAAATCACCTCAGATGATTCTTCAGTAAGCGTGGCATGCTTCGATTTTAGTCTTTCTACTTGAGACCTCAAATCCTTCAGCACTTGAATAGTTTCGATGATGATGGAAGCTTTGTCGTGTTTCGGTCTATCCGGATCTGCAAAATACAGCAACGCATTGTCAGAAAATCTTGAAATGAATTTAGTATATATTCAACATGAATTTATGAGCTTCCTTAGTAAAATCTCTAACATAACAATTTACATTTTGTATATAACATAGTAATTCTATCAACACTTCAAGATCCCCTCCTCAGTTATAAGCTTCAACAATGTCTTATCAGTTAACTCACATGATCTTTAAACTAAATTCAATGGAACAGTGCAATCAGGATTTGTGTTTCATTGTAGTGATCTAGATAACAGTATGGCTTACCAAGGGTGTTGCCCAGCTCCATGAATTGTTCATTCAAACGGTCCCTCCTCAATTTTTCACGATCAGCCTTTTGAACTTTCCTTGCAGTGTTAGTGTCATTTGCTTCTGCTTCCATCCTTTATCAAAGCCAAACACATGATCAAGTTTAGAACTAATCAAGTAGGAAAGCATGTGCAGCTGAAGAAAGCATATTTCTTAGGAGAATAATGAAATCAATTCACATTTAGCTTCTAAATAAGAGACATAATAGTTCTTCTTATTTCTCAAAAAACACCAAAAGCCGTAACAGCACCATATGATTATGCTCAGCAATTTATCAATCTAAAAGTCTAAACGGAGTTGAATGTCATGCAGTATCGTCCATCTTAATGCTGGATCAAGGAAATGCAAATTCCTATTTCAAAGCTTCGATTTCGCAACGCAAGTGAAAGCCCTAGCTCTTAATCATTTCAGAAGCAAATTACTCTTGTCTCCAATCCTCCTTCAACGATCGAGCGTTTCCAAATCTCCATAAAACACCACCGATCATTTCACAAACATAAATACGCAACAAAGCAAGTAATTTAAGAAAAAAAAAATTGCAAGTAGCAAAAAAATGACATCTAACCTCCAATCCGGATTAGGACGTGTGGATTTGGCGCGAACATCGGGCAAGGACTGAAAATTGTTTGAGTTATGAATGGACTCGAAAAAATTGTCCGGATTCAGCTGATTCATAGTCGAAAAAACCTTCGCAACCTACAGGCGATTGAAACCAGCAAACAGGACGGCGATGGCGGATGCAACTTGCAAAGCCAGTGCTTTTTCGAGACGCCATCTCATTGCGCAGTGGACGAGCAATGGCGGATGGGGTCTACCACTGTCGCCCGCATCACCATTCCACCATTCATCGTCCAATTTTTCAAAAGAGGCCCTCAACTTCTGTATTTATCAATTCGGTCCTCTCCAAAAACTATAGCGATACCAGTTTGGGCCATGTTAAAAAGAGGCCCAATAATGATTTGGGCTACTAATATAAAAGCCCATGGGCCCAGCCCGAAATAGAAGAATCTGAATAAAGATTAAGCCACGCGTCCGTGGTGAAGGCTGTCACGTTCGCAGATATTCGTTCATTCGTTTTTAATCTACGCAGAGATCTGAAATCGAAGCACCAAAGGAAGTTCAGAATATACACTGAATCCCCAATTGATTTGGATCTGGAAGCATGTCTTCGACATTCAGCGGCGATGAAACTGCTCCATTCTTCGGCTTCCTCGGCGCCGCCGCGGCTCTCGTCTTCTCCTGTAAAAAAATTGCTTCTTTCCCCATGCGCACTTTTTTCGATTCTTAACCGTTTTTGTTACTGTAATGGCTACTTGATTTGTGGTTTTGTGATGCTTCTGATATGTTGTTTGGATCTATCTTGATCCGCGGCGTTAATTTTTTTGTGAATCGGTCTGATTGATGGAAATTCATTGCTTGGTAGTGATTGTACTTGCAGTAGTTATATGAGTTATATTTTCATTATTTTATTACGGGGATTTGGTTTGTTTTTTCCAATAAATTTCACTCTGATCTGGAATCTGGATGGTGGTGGCGTGATTTCTTCTTATTTGTGGTGTTTCTTTAGTTTGCTGAAGCTTCTATATGCATATATCGGTATGATTACGACTTGTGGAGTGTGCCTGTGCTTTATGTATGCTATTTTTTGTCAGCTGAATTTCATATTTTTTATTAATTTTCTGCTCCGCCTTTTCTTGAGGCTATAGTTTGAATTTCTAGCTAGAGGTGTTTATGTGATTGGTTACTCCATAGGTATGGGAGCTGCTTATGGGACGGCAAAGAGTGGAGTAGGTGTGGCATCCATGGGGGTCATGAGGCCGGAGCTGGTGATGAAGTCAATTGTGCCAGTGGTCATGGCTGGCGTTTTGGGTATATATGGTTTGATTATTGCTGTAATTATCAGCACTGGGATAAACCCTAAAGCCAAGTCTTACTACTTATTTGATGGTTATGCCCATCTCTCTTCTGGCCTTGCCTGTGGTCTCGCGGGTCTTGCTGCTGGAATGGCTATTGGAATCGTTGGAGATGCTGGTGTTAGGTATGCTCTTCTTGTTTGAAATTGAAATTGAAATCCCTAACCTTGAAATATCTGATACTTTTTGCTCTTTTTCCTTTTGGATATTCTTGAATTGGATGCTATCTGGCTGCCATTGTTGTTTAACTGCATTTTAACTTGTAGTTGTTTGAACTTCAGGCTTTTGTTTTGTGGTTAGATGTTAGAGCATGTGTTATATACACATCATCCTTTCAGCCCTTCCATGGCAAATATTTTATCGAATATTCTAGTTAGCATGAAAATTTGCAAGGATAAAGCTGAATTGATTACAAAAGTAAAATATTTGTGTAGTTGTGTTAATCTAAGTGATGAAAGATGTGCTTTGAGTTGTCAATCATATGGAATGTATTTTTGACTCTTGGTAGGTGAAGAATAGATATTTACCTTGGTAGCATATGAATCACTCTAATGTTCCAACAAAAGTGTTATGGTTTCTTCTTTGGTTGTTTGCCTGTGTATCTACCTATGGAACAGTCGGATTATGATCTAACAACAAAGGAGGCTTTACAATTATGCTGCCCATCTGACCCATTTGCAAAGTACCGTTATTTTTATAGGCCACAAGCAAACGACCCATTTTTATTCAAAAGTTGCAAAAATTGTTTGCTTTTATATTCCTTACTGTTTTATTTAAGATTTTAATACGCCCATACATTTCTCTTAAGCTCAAAAATTGAAAGACAAACAATGTATTCAAGCTAAATGTTTACTTAATCGATGCGCCTTGACAAGATTATTTTCTTTCTTTTTAGATATGGCTGAACATACTCTCAACTTGCAGAACTAAGTTAATCATCATTTACTATTATTTGTAGGGCTAATGCGCAGCAACCAAAGCTATTTGTGGGGATGATCCTCATTCTTATTTTTGCTGAAGCTCTGGCCCTCTATGGGCTGATTGTCGGAATTATTTTGTCTTCACGAGCTGGCCAGTCCCGAGCTGACTAGGCAACTATCCATTTTCACATCTTTTTTCCAGAACCATGAAATTCAAGGTATGTTTGACCATGTAGTAGTGTGATTATTATTATTATTATTATTATAATGGTTGGCCTTCACCATTGAAGTTAGTTGTGTGTGTTATTATCCTATTAATTTGTTGGATCACAAATTCTTGCCCCCTGAATAAGAGATTATTTTGGAGCCTTTGTGCTGTTTCTTAGCTGTGATGTGAACAACAATAATAATAATTCATAAACATGAAATCCACGTGTTTTTTGCTTTTCTGTTTTGGTAATGAAATTTTGGGTGTAACAGTGGAAGCACCATTTGTTATATGTCTGTCACCTTTTGGCAGTATTTTGGGGGTGTTCTTTATTCTGTATTTTACATTTTTTTTTTATATTTATAGTTCATCTTTTTATTAGGTGAAATAGTTGTTTAATACCATGTTTATATTTGAAACTTTTTCATGGAAAAAAAAAAATAAAATAAAATAAAATGGGAAAAATAAATCAAAATATAACTGTGTCTTGGATTGTGTTTGATTCATATATAGTCAGATCTTACACGAATTCAAACCAAACAAATTCCTTGTGAAATGGAGCCTTTTATCATATTCTAAATGAAGAACAAAATATTGATATAATCAACAATTCAAGTACGTTGGTGAAATTTGTTGAATTGTTGTTTTTCAAAGTATGTTAAGTATAAAATAACAGTTTTTATTTGGTTTTTTCATTGTAAGTTTTTGTAATATAATGAAGTTGTTCTACGAGCTTTTTCTAATTTTTTCTAATATGTAATCTTATAATTAATTTGTTGTTTTTTATTTAAAATATTATATTTAATGACTATATTACTTAAAAAGTATTAGGCTTGTGATATATTGTGAAAGAAGATATAAATTATATTTTTATAAAAAATTATTAAAACAAAAAATCTTAAAAGTAAATTGAGCCAGAATCCAGAAGTAATAGTAATATCACATTGTATTTCTTTTAACGTTTGAATTTAAAGGCAAAATAGCGAACGACCATAATGTGCTTTGCTAAATTTGCATTATGCTAAATTTGCTAAAAAATCCTAAAAAAAAATTTAAAATGAGATTAAAGTGTGTAATCATTTTCCAAAAAAGAAAAGTGACATTGTAGGTGGGACCGACAGAAACGGCAACATGGACATGGTATCTGGGACGGAGGGAGTATTAAAATTAGGGTTGTCCCGTAAGATATGGTCCGGTGATATGGGGGTTGGACTTGTGACTGTGAGGCCTAGTTTGCAGGGTGTTCGGTGGAGGGTTTATCCCGTGCGACACTTTCGGATAGCGAATTTCCAATATATATTATTTTTTTATAAAAGCTTACCATTCAATATAAAATAGTATATTTATATTATTAACATAATTTTCTATAACTTATATGAAACAAATTCAAAACAAAGCGCGGAAGTAAACCAAATTTGGGACCAAGAGTATTTTCAGCACATTTTACAAACCACGTCATTTTTTGCTATTTTACCAAATTTAAATTTAAAAAAATAGAATTGAAATAGCATTTCATGTGGAATTTTATGCAAGGGAATTTGCCTTTTGCATACAAATAATTACTTATTTTTCAATAAATTTTGAAAACCCGCATCAAGCTTATTTTGAATTTTTAGGTAACTTCAAATAGGTGTAATTTTTTTCGGCCAAATTTTTAAAATTTTATTGTTTGAATTCTGCATTTTTTTAAACAATAATACTATATGTATATTTTTTTTCTTATAAAATATCTCATAAAATATTATTTTAATATTAAATTCAAATCAAAATTTCTCAAACCTAATAAAAACCACAAATATTTACCATTTTGAATCACTTAATTTGACCACAACTTTTAAATTCCTGTTTACTCCTCTAATTTGGGGGGGGGGGGGGGGGGGGCGGAATCAACTCATAAAATAGTCAGCAATTTTATTGTCATTTAAACTAAATAACTACAGAACTATACATGCAATCATTCAAAATGATTATGAATTATCAATTCAATTTAAATTTAAGACCATAATAAAACCAAACATTCTTCATAGAAGTAATAATAAAATTAATCGATTGTTATTTACTTATTATAACTAGTCAATACAGTACTAACAACACAAAATATATACGGACAACAAATAAATATAAACCGACAGTATATGAACATACTCTTATATCATAAAACGGTTGTTAATACAATGCATATGTTCCCTCCGTCCATAACAAGGATATCATTTTTTTATTTAGTAATTGCATTATCTCTCTAACATAATTAATATCCTTACAATTTTCAATATATTATACAAATGTCATTACTTTTATATCACACAATCTAATAGCAGTATTTTTTGTCTTTCTCACGATAAATCAATATAATACTAATATTTAAAAATCTACGTGCAAAAATTAAATGTGACTTTTCTTTCTGCAAAAAGTAAATGTTACTTTCTTCTGAGACGGAAGTAATACTATAATTAATCACTATATTAAGACCAACCACATACAAAATAGAACAAACAACTGTATAGATTATTAACATGGAGCTAATCAGCATCCCGACCATTCTAACAAATTCGATCTCCTACCAATTAGTAGACAACTACAATTTAAATATAGATATTCATAATCAAATGTAAAGAACAATAACATGATATCGAGTTCAACATCCACGCAAAAAAGGCGAATTCTCTCCGATTATTTTTGTTCGTATGTGTTTTTAACTTTACGGTTTTTCTCTCATTTTCATCTCGTTTTCGTGCCCCGAATGTGTCTAGGTTCATCCCCCTTGGCGTACTTCGCTTCTTGCCAAATTTAGTCTTATCGAATTATATTAATCGACATTATTTTGTCAACTTACTTCAAATATATATAAACTTTAAAAATAAAAATAAAAATTTATCATCCTCATTCCAAAAGTGAGAGAACTTATACATGTTCACTCGTTTTCATATTTTAATTTGCTAATAATTATAGAAATTTTATACTGTTGCAACACAATTACAAATAGGTCTATTTTATTTATTTATTTATTTATTTTTATGGATTAATAATTAACTAGGCTTCAATTTTTTTAGAAAAAAATACAACTCAGCTTCGGTTAGCATTTGTATTGCAAAGTAAATCAATTCAAATGATAAAATAAAAATTTCTACTAAATTTAAATTGATTTGATTTACAATTCTTTTGTTATTTTTCATCTAATTGAATCGCTATAATTTGTATCTCCTTCGTTCATAAAAATATGTGCGCAAACTTTGTAGCCCAAAATTGAATCAAATAATATTTTTGTATATCTATATATTTAATTGTAGGTTTATAATAGAGTTGATAATATAATTTTTGGATTAAAATAGTTGAGTGGGAGATATATATTCCCTTTTATTAACATGTTTTATAGTAAATTAAAAAATAATATTATTTTATTAGTTAGTAGAAGTATAAATTTTTGATATTTTTGTAATTAGATTTTATATATAAAATAATTGTATATGTAATAATATATTTGTAAATTAAGTAAAAATTAAAGGTATTTTGGTATTAATATATTATTACTTTTTTTTTATTAGAAAATAGATATTTTGAAGTGGACAAACGAAAATGGTAAAAATGTTATTTTGAATTTGGACGGAGGTAGTATAAAATTTATAGGTTGCAATAGTATAAATAGTTTTAAAAATAAATCAAAAATAAAAAATTTAAGAAGGATTTGATGTTATACTTTTAGTAGAACGTCGGTTAGAATGCTAATTTGATAAAATCAATACAACACATCAATGCAAATAGCATACGAATTTATATAACACACGGTTATAAATTTTTGTGTATTGTATTTATATATATATTTATATTATTGTACTGATAATCAATAATATATTACATTGTATATTGTATTATCATGTAATGTCTAAATATATTAAGTATCAACTCAAATTATTATTACACAAATTCAAATTACTATTACACCTTTTTTTCCGACCCTCCTTACATGTATATTTTTAAAATTTTGACTATATTCATTATAACTTTATATATATATATATATATAATCATATCAAATATTTATTTTTCTGACAAATTTCAAATTTTATGTTTCTTTATTATTTATCGTTATTTCTATTTTATTTTAAATATATAAAAACTATTATTTATTTTTCATATAAATTATATATTCAATATTAATTTTTATCTAACAAATCAAAGTAGAGCATACAAAACAAAAATCAAACAACAAAAGAATATGCTCATTCCAACCAGCATTGTCCTCCCAATTATATTAAGCTGTTAAAACATGGGAATAGGGTTATTATTTCAATGTATTTTTAATAAGTGAATAAAAAAATACTCCGTCCGTCCTAAATACCATGTCTGCTACACTGTAGACACCGTATTTTAGGAGGAGTGTAATTAGTAGATAATTAAGAATGTATTAGTGAAAATAATTATCCTATAATATAAATAATTATAAATTAAGATTAAGATAACTAATTAGTTTAATTAAAATTAAAAAAATTTAAAATTTAAAATGAGATTAAAGTGTGTAATCATAAGGAAAGTGACATGGTATATGGGTCGGACATAAACGGCAACGTGGACATAGTATCTGGGACGGAGGGAGTAATTGAATGTAATATTTATTTTTTTAACTTCTTATAAATGTAAGTAATTATTATTTTATATTTAAAAATAATATTCAATTCTAAAATTCTTATTTTTTGGTTTTTAATTTTATCTGTTAATTTGTCGCTTTGAATTGTAAATTAAACAAATAATATTACTTATTTTTTATATTCGATTGAATATTCTGTACTATTTTTATATTTAAAATTCAACGAATATAATTCGAGTGTATTAAATTATTAATAATTTATTATTTTTTATTTGAGTAATATTATGTATTTTAGATATTTTTATCCTTATATCCTCAATATATATATCATTTTTTAGAAAATATAATTTATTATAATACAATTAAATAAAAAAATACATTAATTTACTTATAATTCACATAAACTAGTTTTATAAAAACTGTGAAATTTTAAATAAAAATAAAAATATTCATTTATTGATAAGAGGATAAAAATAAAGAGTTATGAGTGAGTCTAAAAATTTAATTAAAATTTATATTTATTAAATATATTTAAAATGAATAAATTTACTAAAAAAATAAATCAATCTTTTATTGGGCAAAAAACAAAAAATATATATATATATATATATTATTATGAGATGGACATAACCATATACTAGTATTTTATTAAAAATACAAAGAAGTCATCTAATACCTAGTTTACAAAGCTAAAATTATTTATGTACC